TTCCTACATATCAGTCTCGTGTCAAGTAGTAACCATTCATACACAGAATTGGATATATTGACCAAACAAGTCTAACATTGCAAACGACCCCTGTTGCCTCTACAAATATTCTTACACAAAATATGTGAATCAGTTGCAAGTTCTCACATAATAAAGAGATTTGACTAATGTGCTTCATTGAAATAGTTTGTGGTAGTAAGTGCAGTGGACGCTAGGAAATAAGAGCCAGGGGTCCCAAGGTCTAATAAGTTTCTGTGGATGATCCCTGTGCTGCAAAATCCGCCTTTCCATAGGCTACATAAGGTTAACCTGATTCCCCCACTCAGCAAAAGTAGGTGGAATGCAGGATAACCACTTCTGTGCTATCACCTTGCGAACCACAAATAAAAGTTTTAGAACTGGGGAGAATATCCCTGGAGGTAGATCCTCCTTACAAATAAAAGTTTTAGAACTGGGGAGAATATCCCTGGAGGTAGATCCTCCTTATCAAAGAAACTTAGCACGCATAAAAGTGGGCTTAGGGAAAATGAGATATGGAATGTATTATTGAATGTGTTTACAATAGACTGCCAATAACAAAAGAGTTAAGGGCATTGCCACATCATATGGATAAGGTCAGCTGGATTACGCTGGCATCTGGGGCAATCTGTAGTATGGTACACTATATGAAAAATAAATATGTTGGGTGAGTCTCTGGGAAAGGGAGAGGCACCATGGGGACTGCCCCCAAAGCCTTTTCCCAATTTTCCACTTAGGGCCCTTATTCCCCTTCCACCCATTTATAGATGGTAAGAGTGTTTTCGTAACTAAGTCCTGATGTATGAAGAAATATAAGTGCGAGATAAGCCCCTTTTTTTCAGTGGTCTGTGCCAGTAATGATGTCAATGGAGCAGGCCAAGGTGTGTCTTAGTTCTAAAAATTAAAAACATTTTTTGTTTGGGAAGTGAAATTAGTGAAATTAGGGAAGTGAAATTAGTGAAGTGAAATGTGTTGCAGTTGAGGCGCTACAAAGTAAGTCTTTGCATGAGGAACAGAAAGACCCTCACAATCTTTTGCCTATTGTAGTGTAGAATGCTTAGGGCTGCTTCTTCCATATCAGATCCCTAAAGCATGACTTTATACATTTTAAACCATTTTTGTGAAATCCATAGAAGGTAATTATGTAAAATAAATAGTAATATCCATAGGAATAGCAGAAATGTTAACATCTAGATATTTGAACGTGTCTATGGTCTTTATCTGGAAGGCACACTCAGGGAGTTCTCCAGTAGTAGGGTCAAGTGGTAGAAGGACAGACTTGTTCCAATTAATGGCAAACCCAGAGAAAGAACCAAACTGTGCAGGCAGGGACATCAAGGAAGATAAGGAGTATTGTCTCCCCAAAAAATGGAGGACATCATCTGCGTATAACACAATCTTATCTTTCCTTTCATCAGAAACCTGCTAAAGGGTCTGTCTTCCTAATAGCTCAAGCAAAGGGTTCCACCACCAGCGCAAATACGAGTGAAGACAGTGGACACACCTGCTGGTCACCACACTGTAGCGCAAAAGATTCTAAAACTTCATTGTAAATCCTCATACATGTTGTTGAGGTAACATAGGAGCTCAAGTCATTTAATAAAGTGCCATCCCAACCCAAAAGCAGCAAGTTTCCCAAAGCTTTGGGCAGTCACCGCTACTGAATGTGTCCAAGGACAAAATAGCTTGGTCACCCACATTCTCTGGGGAAAGCTATATGTTATGGAATAAACACCTAATATTAATTGCTGTGTATGTGGTGGGGATTAACTGTGACTGGTCTGTATAAATTTAGTTAGACAAGTTGTGAGGGCCTAGGCCTATATTTTTATATTTAAAGTGAGGAGAGAGATTGTGTTGTAAGATTCTGGGTTCAGTAAATCCTTCTCAGGCTTGGGAAGCACAGTGGCCATTTCTTCACTATTAGATCCGGGGAGTGAACCCTCATGAAAGGTCTATTTGAGAACTGAGTCATTCTGGCAGAGAAATCGGGGCATGTTGTTTGTATATCCCAGGAGGGAGACATTCCAGGCTGGGTGCCTTATTATTCTGCAAATTCTAGCTCATCCATCGTAAGGGGTGCATTTAATTTGGTTCTATCCTCCTTTGTGAGACAGGGGAGGTTTAAAGAGGACATAAACTGAGTTAGGGCAGCTGGGGAGTATGGGACCTTCAGGATATAGAGGTCTTCATAATAGCCTTTGAATATTTTTAAAGGTATAGCAACATATCCTTCATGGGTGTTGATGGCCCCAATGTATGAGAACTCTTCCTGGGATTTAGCAATAACCACCACCAAGTGCCCTGTACGTTCCTCTTCTTCAAAGTATGTTTGTCTTGAGAAGAAGCACTTATTATCAGCCTTGGAGATAGAAATAGTGTGGTACAGTCGCTGGCCATCTCACCTATGCCCCTAGTGTTCTGGTGTGGGATCATTTAAATACTGTAACTCTCTTCCATAACTATACTTCGCTCATTCCTCGCCCCTGCAGGCTTCTGTTCACGAATGGTACCCAGAAGTCACTTTGTTGATCATAGGCAGTCCGATGTAATAATGTACAATGCAGCACCAGCAGTCCAGCAATTGTTAGTGAAGATGCCGAGGGCCACCCACAACCCAGAGCTTCTGAGTACAGCTTTAAACACAAGATGCAGCATAATCTATCTCCCGTCTATCTTCCACATTGACTGCCTTTAGGCGATTGCCCTCCTTACCATCTTGTCTTGAATTGTATTGTAATGTCTTCCTTATATTGTAAAGCGCTGCACAAACTGTTGGCGCTATATAAATCCTGTATTATAATAATAACTAGCATAATAACATAAAAGATACGATAGGACAGCAATAATGTATTTAATGATAGCATTCAGAATTCCTAAGCTCACTGGTTGTTTGCATTAAAAGCTTATTTCACCTCTAACACCATGTTCAATGTTACAGCCATATGTACGGTGTAACATAGAACATAATGCCATTTCACAACCCCCCACCCTCAGCTCCCCCATTTACTTGAATTGCGATGTCCTCACCTGCAGGATTCTGTATATTTCTTAATTTGGCACCCACACAGCCGTGTTATTCATTTACAGATCCATTGCTTTCATCTGTGTATGATAAAACGTCTACTGTCACTGCGGCAGAGTAGGGTTGCCACCTTTTCTTCAAGCGGAACCCGAACACTCTAGCGACGCGCGGACATTTTTTTGGGGAGAATGAGTCGCAGCTTATTTATATGTAAATAGTGCCTCCCATTCATATGCAAATATCACAGTTGAGACTATTTTCAGTGGGGGACCAGTAGCCCCATCTAAATTTTGGTTGCCCCTGTTTGTCTGACATCTTGTGTCCGGGTTTCTCCTCCCATTGAAACCCGGACACAGTATTCAAAACCCGGCCTCTCCGGGTGAATCCTGGACAGGTGGCAACCCTACAGCAGAGAGATTTGTAGTTCTTAATGCACTGATGTCCCCTCACTTGTACTCCATTGATAACTTCCTACAGCTCTATAACTGAAGGTCTGTTATCTCGGTACAGACCTGGAACTAAAGGAACTGTCTGCAGGAGCCAGAGCATTGCCCTCACCATCCACAGTTGCAATGCTTTGCAGGTTCCAATACAGAAAATTAAAGTGGAACTCCAGGAATGATCAATTAATCAGTCAGCACCACATAGAGTCAGTGCTGATCTGTTTCGGTTATGGCTAAAGCAGTTTCCCCTATGCATACTAAACACAGGGAGTCACTTGCTCGGCAGCACCACCATTCAGGCAGCACCTTGCATTTTTCCCATGAATACAAGGCATTCTCTGGTTGGATGAGGTGGGGATGGTGATGTCATCCACCTCGTCCAACCAGGGAATGTCTTGCATTTCAAAAAATATAAGTCCTTCTGTGAATGACTGCTGTGCGAGCAACTCTCTGTGCAGTGGAGAAGTTGCTGGAGCCACAACCAGAAGAGACCAAGGGGTTGATTTACTAACCTTTTAAACACACCACGAACGTGTATACACCTCTGTAGTGTGTTCGCTCCCAGCATGATCTATGGGAGGAATCGAAACACCTTTGTAGTGTGTACACACCCAGCAGGTGTGTTGTGCAAAGCCCTGCAATGAATTGCAAGGTAATGTGGTGTAAATTAGCTCTATGTTATGTTGCTTGCGTTGATGAATGCAGGAATGTAAATGCATGAGCTAACCATTTTTGTCTAAACTGTGAAGCAGCATTATATATGCATCATGTGCATGATTTTTCCATATATGGCATTAGTGGAAATATGCTTTTAGAGACTTTTTGGTTGATAAATACGTTTTGCTGTGTGAAAATCACACACACCTGGTGTGTGTGTGTGTTTAGGTTAGTAAATCACGCAACTGTCAATGTATGTAATAAAGATATTTTTGGAATCCACAGCGGCCCTCTGGAGATCAGATATAAATTATTTACATGTACATTTAGTCAAACTGGACCAATAAACGTATCCATAAAAGATCATTCCTGGAGTTCAGCTTTAAAAAATGCAGTTTTTTTCATTTCTGCTTTATGGTTGCATTTATTATTCTTATTAAATAAAGTGGAATGTCTATGACGTGTAATTCTTTGGAGCTCAGCAATCTCCATATGAACCATCGTGCTCTTGTGATTTCTGGTAATTCTCTCATCTGTCCAATAGGTGGCGGCAGAGGCGCGGGGCTGCCTTGGGCTATGTACAATTTGAATACAAACATCGATGATTTTAATCAGCGAGTTCCTTCGGTTCTGTAGAGCCATTAACAGTGCTGTGTGTCACATTGCACCTGTGTATTCAATCCGGAACACATTACAGGCACCATTCGTGCAGCTCAGCGGCCCCCGGTGCAGTATACAGCTCCCCCCATACCAGAATGCAATGACAGCATCATCTTTGTAGCGGGGCCCCCGGACTACAGTTCCCAGCATGCTCCGCGCACAGAGGGCGGGATCGGGAGAAATCGGGCGCTGTGAAGGCTGTGCTCGGTGTATTTACATATGCTGAAGGAGCTTGCTGATTGAGTAAACTGAGCGGAGCCGGACTGGAAGCTGCGCCCAGTATAGACCTGTGTGGGAGGTGGTAGGGACTCACTAATGCAGATGGGAGTTTCCAGGAAGTCCAGTGGCCATATTGGATCCCATTGAGATCTATGAGCTGGGATTGCATCAATTCACAAGAAAACAGCTAGGGAGAGACTGCCGGCTGACTGATTTATTGAGGACGCCACCATGGCAGCGACTGATGTGGAGCGGGTTCATGTAAGTAGCGGTGCCAGGCTATGGGGAGGAGGGTGTGCGGTGCCGGGCTGTGTGCCACCATCAGATGATGTGTCCATCGGGGCACCGGAGAGCTGCCCAGCACACATGGCAAAGTTTTCCTGCTGGCTCAACTTCTGTGTCACTGTGTCCTGGGTGACCGAGACACTGCTATTCATCGATCTCATCATGTCACATCTCAAACCAATCGTCTCTTCTACTTCTGCCCAGGGTATTGATCAGCTGATGATGCGGCTTGTCAGTTTCCTTCGGAGGTTCAACTTTGTGTGCCAAGCACTGATCAGGTGAAACGATTCCACAGCTGGCACCACTACCCACCATAACTACCAGGGAAGTGGCTCTGGGGACGCACGCGTCTGCTGGCAATGCCACTCAGCTTGTTACCACTAAGTTTAGAGCTGTGTTATTCCACTCTGATGGTGTATGCTGCTCCTAGTGCCATGATATAGGGCACCTGACTTTCTGGCCCTAAAATGTGCTATTGCATGCCATGATATAGGGCTCCTTACTTGATAACCCAATGTGCTATGGCATGCCATAATGTAGGGCTCCTGACATGCTGGCCATTAAATGTGCTATTACTATGGCATTCCATGATATACTGCTCTTTACTTGATGACCCTTAAATGTGCTATTGCTTTGGCATGCCATGATATAGGGCTCTTGACGTGCTGGCCATTAAATGTGTTATTACTACGGCATGCCATGATATAGTGCTCCTGATGTGCTGGCCCTTAAATGTGCGTTTGCAGTAGCAATGTCATGCCATGGTATAGGGCTCCTGACTTGATGACCCTTGCATGTGCTATTTCTATGGCAAGCCATGATATAATGTTCCTGACTTGATGGCCCTTAAATATGCTATTCCTATGGCATGTCATGATAAAATGCGCCTGACTTGATGACCCCTATATGTGCTATTGTAATAGTAAATGTAACACCATTGTCTGGCTTGATGCCACTTAAATATGCTATAGCAATGCTGTGTCTTGGAGTAGGGTTCCTGGCTTGAAGACCCTTAAATATTCTACTGCTATGGCATGCCATGATATAGGGCTCCTAAATGTGCTGTTGCTTTGGCGTTTCTTTGATATACTGTTCCTGGCTTGATGACCCTTAAATGTGCTACTGCAATATCAGTGCCATGCCACGATATAAGGCTCCTGATTTGATAGCCCTTTATATATGCTATGGCAATAGTAATGCTAACTCTTTTATAGGGCTCTGTAGTGATGAGCCCTAATTGTGCTATTGGAAGAGAAGATGCCATGCCATAGTATAGTGCTCCTGGCCAAATGACCCCGTGCTATTACAATAACCATGCCATGATACAGAGCTCCTGAATTGATGATCCTTGAATGTGCCATGCTGTAATAAAGTGCTCCTGAATGGATGTACCTTAAATATGCTATTGCAATAGACATGCTGTGATACAGGGCTCCTGGCTTAATTAACCTTAAATGTATGCAAAAGCCAATTGAGTTACTGATAAACCTGCTAGTTGAGAAATGAACTAGTGAATATACTGTGTAAAGTTTCGTTTTCAGCTGTTTTATCCAGATTCTGCCTAGTGTACAGCTATGTAAATGCTAACTACTGATTTGCATGTGATCGAGCATCCTCTACCCCATGTGACCTTGACCCCCCCCCATCTTTGATGCCACTTGTGCCTTCCAGCTGTTTGACAGCATCTCTGGTTCTTGCCTTTTGTGTTTCCAGTCTGGGTAATCTGTGCTTTGTTCAGCTAAAGTTCTTGTACTAAGTGTAGTGTATGTTGCACAATGTATTCCAGAGTCTGGAATTCCAGTAAAAGGGCAAACCTTTTCATCTCTTATCTGTGTTTGCCATCTTGTCTATGCTGGTAGGGTGGCATGCCAAATCAACATGTTCTTTGCCAAGCTGAAAGCTTTTTTTTTTTTTTTTACAAATCCACTAGAACCAAATGAAAAGGTAATAATGGACCCTATCAAAGTGTCTTAAAATACTGTCTTTCTTTAGATCAGCCAATAAGATTGGAGGTTTATTTCTCTGGATTCCATTCGTAGAGCAAGTTTGGTTCTTGCAGAAAAAAAAAACTATTTTTATTTTATAGATGAGGCCCAATGTGATTAGACACTGAGCCATAAAATAAAGCCAGGTAATGCCAAGCTTCTGGGCACTGCTGGGAGTAAGGGAAGCGACTCGAGCAGTACAGTGCTCCGTACTAGAGCTGCAGCTAACGATTATTTTCAAAATCGATTAGTTAGCCGATTATTAAGTTCGATTAATCGGTTAATCGTATAAACAATAAAATACATTTTTAAAAATGGCTCCAGTGATAGACTACTAGTTTGTATTGAGATTGTAGTCCATCACAGGAGCAAGCTTGGAGCGGTGGAAGTAAAAAAGTGGGCGGGCGGTGAGTGTGAGGCGGGGAGGAGGTGCGGCGTGAAGAGCGTGGATGCGGGCGAGCGGGTCTGGCAGCGGCGAGCGTGAGGTGGGAAAGAGCTGCGGCGCGCAGCGTGTGTGGAGCCGTAAATAGGGCCAACTGATCGGAAGCCGATTAATCGATTATTGAAAAAGTTGACAACTTTTTCAATCGAATATAATCGATTATGTTGATTAGTTGTTGCAGCCCTACTCCGTACGCATCGCCCGCCCCTCCTCACTATTGCCCACATCGCAAAATGTCTTGTATTTTATTTTTTAAGGAATACAAGGCATTCTGTGATTGGCTGAGAAGAGGAAAGGTGGGATGTGACATCATCTCTCCTCCTGCTGACTTGGCTTTGTATGTGCAAGCTTCACAGCCACCATGTACATCTTGGCTTCACTACTTAGTGTGTCACTAAACAAGTCTCTAAAAGCTCCCAGCTTCTTTCCTACATGCTTGTTCCAGGTCAGTGACTCGCTATGTAATAAAGCCAGGATCAGGAAGATGATCCTGGAGCCTGCACCTTTTAAATGACATGTCAGTAGCCACCAAATTCTTATCCTCACTTGTTTACTTTAAAGTACACCTGATACTTTGAATATTCAGGGTAAAGTGACAGGTTCATTTGATGGCTCTTTGCACTTCCATGGATACCTTCACTGCTGCTCTGATTGCTTCCAGGTATCAGAGAGCATGAGACCTTCTCCTGTTCCTCACATGATGTAGTACTCTATTTCCGAGCAGTCAGTCACCAGGTCCAAGCACTAACAAGTGGGTGATGGAGGGTGTCATTATCCCTGTGTAAGTTCCGTCACAGACAAAGCCTACACAGAACTTCTAAGTTGGTCCTATGGCAGGTGAACAGGGCATTAGGGGAAATTATCAGCAGGAGGAAGAATGGGCTATCGACAGAACACAGTTACTTTGCCCTGATTGGCTTGATTCGTTTTGGGAACACTTACAATGTGTTAATGCAAATATATTCACTAACACCTTCATAAATTATTTCTCTGGCTGAGAGCACTTCTCATCCAGAATTAGAACAGAAGGAGCTTCCTTTTTAGTTCCTTATTCAGACCTCAGCGAAGGGTTGCGATGCACAGGAAAAAAAATCCAGGATTTCCAGTGCCCCTGACATTTAAGAAATGTGGACTCCAAAAGAGTTCTTATTTTTATCAATGTGAGCTTCACAGTTTTTCTAAAGTTATACTGGCTTTAGTTGGCAACACTGTAGATGCAAAATGCTTAGTACTTTTGAATTTGTCCATTGATTGCTTTGGCTAGAATCGCAATTTTCATGCTTTGGATTGAAGTGTTAATTATTTCGAGGAAAGTGCCATCACCAGATGCATTCATGACTATTGCCATTAATATATTGCCACAAAGCCTGCTGACTCTTCATCTGACAGCCCTGACTGGCATTGGAAACATTTTCCAGCATCCATCACTGATGAAAAATCATCTCTGAAAGCCTAATGCCCTGGTGCCCAACCTACACATAGGGCCATTTGGTGCCTGTAGTGTGGGCATTCTGTAGTTGGAGTTGGGGCATGGATTTGTAAAGGGGTAATAGCAGTGAATGCTACTACCCTCATGTAACTTGTTCTGAGTCTGTCACTGTCTTCTGCAGTTTGTCTCCAACCAAACCTGCCACGTGTCCACAGTCTCTGGCGGTCATTTCCTCTAGCACGCCTGCAGTCTCTGGCGGTCACATCCTCTAGCACGCCTGCAGTCTCTGGCGGTCACATCCTCTAGCACGCCTGCAGTCTCTGGCGGTCACATCCTCTAGCACGCCTGCAGTCTCTGGCGGTCATTTCCTCTAGCACGCCTGCAGTCTCTGGCGGTCACATCCTCTAGCACGCCTGCAGTCTCTGGCGGTCACTTCCTCTAGCACGCCTGCAGTCTCTGGCGGTCACTTCCTCTAGCACGCCTGCAGTCTCTGGCGGTGACTTCCTCTAGCACGTCTGCAGTCTCTGGCGGTGACTTCCTCTAGCACGTCCGCAGTCTCTGGCGGTGACTTCCTCTAGCACGTCCGCAGTCTCTGGCGGTGACTTCCTCTAGCACGTCCGCAGTCTCTGGCGGTGACTTCCTCTAGCACGTCCGCAGTCTCTGGCGGTGACTTCCTCTAGCACGTCCGCAGTCTCTGGCGGTGACTTCCTCTAGCACGTCCGCAGTCTCTGGCGGTGACTTCCTCTAGCACGTCCGCAGTCTCTGGCGGTGACTTCCTCTAGCACGTCCGCAGTCTCTGGCGGTGACTTCCTCTAGCACGTCCGCAGTCTCTGGCGGTGACTTCCTCTAGCACGTCCGCAGTCTCTGGCGGTGACTTCCTCTAGCACGCCCGCAGTCTCTGGCGGTGACTTCCTCTATCACGCCCGCAGTCTCTGGCGGTGACTTCCTCTAGCACGTCCGCAGTCTCTGGCAGCCCTCTCTAGCACTACATGTATTGAACATTATGTGTGGCCCTTTGGTGATGTCAGAGACCACAGTTGAGGCCACATATCTCATAGGTTGACAACCAATGGACTAATTAATGCAGCTAAGATGTACTCTTAAAGTTCAATACAGCCAT